CCCCAAAACCCCAAAACCCCAAAACCCCTTCAGATAAATAAGCTATTATTGGAGGAGGTAGAATTCCAGCATTAATTTGATAGCAAATTTTTAATATCAAAGAAATTGAATAGGATTATTCTCATCTGAATGCTGCTATTCCAGTAATTTCTCTTGCTCCAACTAGATTGTTGATGTCATAAGTACCCTCGTAGGTGTGAATACCTTCCATGTCCATAAATTACTTCATCACGTGATTCTCAAGCAAGATTCCATTACCTCCACAGAGTTCTCTAGCTAAAGAACAGACTTATCTCGAAGTTTTTGTACAATAAGCTTTGGCCATTGCAATTTACCCCATTGATGCCTTTCCTCTTTGATAAAGAAGAGAAACTCTATGGCAAGTAAGGATCATTGCATTGACACTTGAGATCATACTAGCTAACTTTTCCTGACTAGCTTAGAATGAAGCAATAGGTTTGCCAAACTACTTTCTTTCAAGCGAGTATCTATGAGCTGCTTCAACAGCCCCAGCTCCAACACCTGCAGCAAGCCAAGCAACCTATATTCTAGAATGTTTCAAAATGTTGTTAGCTCCAGATGCAAAATCTAATGCTTTTTCAAGTCTGTTATGATAGGGGACAAAGACATCCTTAAGCTCAATATCAGCACTATAAAGCATTAATAATAAAAAGTTGTACTTTTAAACCATTCTAATTGAGAACTTGTTTTCAATCTTAGAAGTCTTAAGGCCGGATGAACCTTTCTCAACAACGAAGCCTTAAATTTTATTGCCCTCATCAACATTTCTAGCCCAAATGATGATATAATCAGCAAAAGTACCATTTCCAATCCATCTTTTTTAGCCATTCAGAACAAAGCCTCCTTCGACTTTCTTGGCTGTCGACTATAGACCAGTAGCATCACTTCCATTATTAGGCTCAGTTAATCCAAAACATATACTTTTTTTCATTAAAATGCAATCTGGCAAAATTCTCTTCTTTTGATCATCACCTCCACATCTTTCAATGACAGAGATTCCTAAGCAGTTAGTCACAATAAAATAAGTGGCTATTGAAGCATCCCATCTGGCGAGCTCATAGAAAACAGAGCCAGTATCAACAATGTTTAACTCCTAAATAGAATTTATAAATACTTTTACATACTGGACTTCCAAATCCTTTAGCGTCTAGGCCATTTACTTTTAATTCTTTGAATTTATCAACCTAAAACGAAGTTAATTTACTGATGACGTTGATAATAATGTTTTCCAATTTGTATCTATTTCCTTACAACGAAATGAGGAAACTCGCACTTGTTAATATATTCGTTTAGCTATAGCATTAATTAAAATATCAAGATACCTGAGGGTTAATCTCTCTCATTACTTTCTCAACTAAATCTTTGAATGTTCTACCTTTCTCACTGATCAATTCATTGAATCTTAATTGCTCCCAACCTTAATATATGTTAACAATAATCAATTTTACATGAAGTGAACTCAGGCTTAGGTTGAGATTTAGGGTTGCTTGTTGCAGAACACTGTAATTGATTGTTTAGAATTTCAAGTTTTTGTAAAACTTATGATGATTGAATTTTCTCCATACTGATTGTTTTGCAAATTTTATAGATTCTCTAATAAGATTAAAATTAGAATTAAGATATAGTATGCTGCTTAAAGTTGATTTTTAAAAATTCAATAATCCCTCTGTGCTCATGGGGTTTTGGGGTTTTGGGG